CGAGAAGCTGCAGTACGAGAAAGCTCGATAGTTATTTTTTTTTCTCAGAGAAATGACTCCTTACCAGACGGAGGGATTTAAAGGAGATTTAACTGTCACAATGAACGGCGAAGAGAGGCAGAAAAACTGGGGGAGACAATGGTGACAGGCGGGCCTTCACATACATTGCTCCGGCAGATTGAGCAAATATATTTGCTGTGCTCCCGGCTTTTGGACCTGCAACCTGTGCTGGCATGAGAGATGGGCTCATGTTTATTGTGATACGCCTTATTTTTATTTGGGTGGGTGTGTTTTTTTTTCTCATTATGAGCGCTGGTTGGGTTCGGGTGAGCAATATTCCACATTGTAAAGGAACAAGTAATAGGTTTATTCCATGCTGAAAAAAAGAAGAAAGAGAACACAACGTTTCGGTCGTGGAGCCTTCTTCAGGTCCTGAAGAAGGCTCCACGGCCGAAACGTTGTGTTCTCTTTCTTCTTTTTTTCAGCATGGAATAAACCTATTACTTGTTCCCTCGTATAAAGATGTTGTTCATCGAGTATTGGCGTTGCATTGTCCTCTCCTAGCATGTCGGGGCCCAACAGCTCTTCAGAGTGGTCTATCGAGGGCCGCCGGCTGGTCCCCCTGATGCCCAGATTGGTCCCGCAGACGGCATTCACGGTCACGGCCAACGCGGTGGCCAACACAGCGGTCCACCAGAACGCCTCGCTCCTGCTGCCTTCGGAAACCGGCAACAAGGAAGGTCAGCGCGCGCTTTCGGCGTCCCCCGCGGGGGGGAGCAGGAGGCCGGGGGTCTGGGGAGAAACGGGCCCGCGGAATGACCGGCGTCTGTCTTTGCAGTGGTCGTCTGCTACTCCTACACCAGCACCACCTCCACTCCCACCACCGCCACCGTGCCCAGCGGCAGTGCCGCCGCCTCCGCCATCAAGTCGCCGCGCCCCGCCAGCCCGGCCTCCAACGTGGTGGTGCTGCCCAGCGGGAGCACCGTCTACGTAAAGAGTGAGTCGGGCCCTCGCTCCGCGCCGCGCCACGCCCCTCCCGGACTGTGAAACTGCCCGGAGCCAGACTGTGTTTTGGCTTAAAATTTAATTAAAATTCGGATAATGTTTGCTTCTGCCTTCAAATTTTGAGTCTGAAACAGCTGTTAAGCTGCTGCTCTTGAGTGGTGATTTTTCAACTGCACGTTGAAGATATTGCAAAACGTTCCATTTGTTAATGTTGTCCGGACTTGCTTGGTAATGCCACTTATTATCTATAGAGTTGCACAAGCCTGAGCATTCATTCTGTTTTACACAGTATTAATTAAAATGTATCTTTGTTTTCTTTGATTGTATTTCTAACATACCTTTCAAAAGTAGTCAACTTAAGAGAATTGGTTTTCCTCTGTATGTCTCACTCTCACCACTAGATGTCACTGTAATGTTTGTTTCCTCAGCTGCCATTGTCATTGTTGAATATGTTTTTTCCTCTCTCGCTCTGCCTGAAGCTGAGAAACCAGCCCGCCCTCTCTCCCCAGGTGTGAGCTGCTCAGATGAGGACGAGAAGCCGCGGAAAAGGCGGCGCACTAACTCTTCCAGCTCCTCCCCCGTGGTGCTGAAGGAGGTCCCCAAAGCGAGCACCCCGATTTCCAAAACTATCACCGTGCCGGTCAGCGGCAGTCCTAAAATGAGCAACATCATGCAAAGCATCGCCAACTCTCTTCCTCCCCACATGTCTCCTGTCAAAATCACTTTCACCAAGCCCACCACCCAGACCACCAACACCACCACGCAGAAGGTATAAGAGAGTTTGTTTACTGGAGGAAAATTCATAGTCCCAGTAACACGTTTGCTGCAGAATCCCGGGTATAATTTTAGTAGAGCCTTATTTTTAAGAACTTTTAGTACTCAGATTATCTTTGAAACTTTTATGCCTTTTCCATTGTAATATGCTGTGCTGAGCAGCATCAGGATAGACCTTTCAGACTGCAGGGCTGGTAATTCATCTTTGGGTTTGCTATAGTTCCGTTAAGTTCTGTTTCTTTGACTGCAAAATTAAGCCATTTGCCTGATCCTCATTTAAACAGATTGTCAGTCTGTTATGCAGAAATGCAAAAATGTTGAAAGACTGGTTTAGCTCTTCAACGTGTCCGTCCTCAACACATAATATATTTGGCTTCATCATATAGTAGAATTAACCCTTTAACTTTGCAGTTGTCATAACTCCACCCTCGCCTTCTGTTAACAGGTAATAATTGTGACAACTTCTCCGAGCTCTACTTTCGTGCCCAACATCCTTTCTAAGTCCCACAACTACGCAGCGGTCACAAAGCTGGTGACCACATCTGTACTGACCTCCTCCAGCCAGAAACAGCCAATGGTCATCACCGCCAGCTCAGCCCCTTCTCCTACGCCCAGCACGGTGGCTGTGACAACTGTGGTGTCCTCTACGCCCTCTGTTGTCATGTCAACTATAGCACAAGGTTAGACACGGACCCCACAGGGCATGGTAATACAGGCCTCATTACCGAGAAGATCATTGCAGAAGATGTAACTATTGAATTGCTTCAGTCAACAAAGTTGCACTCATTTCTTTTCACTATGTTACTGTAGTGACAAATTATAGCAAGTAGAGATATTTTAATCGTGATAATGTACTATGAAAGGTGTCATATAAAGTAGTGGTGGTCATTATTATTAATCACAGTTGGATCATTACAATTAAGATTTAATTTACTGTTAAATTTTAGTTTTAGGCTTAACTGGCATTATAGATTTAACTGTATGTGTAGAATTGCCCCCCTAATCTTTTTGGTCTTTATGTGTGCTGAAAAGATTACCTCTTTGCTTCATGTTCTATACTGTCATTATTCCTTAACATTGTAGTTTTATCTGAGAACATTTGGCAGTTTATATTTTAGTTTAACGTTGTTTAAAAATCATGCTTTCTTTGTTTAACCACGTGCGAGAAACCATGCATGTATTTTAAGCATTACAATCAACAATGTCCCCTTCCTGTAGTTTGTTTTGGCAAGGGCAGTTGGTTCTGCAACTGGCTGTTTATTTGTGACCCTGTGCCTGTTGTCTTAGGTGCCTCTTCTGCTGCTGTTAAAGTGGCCTCAGCGAGACTCCCCTCTCCCAAGACTATGATGGGCTCGCCCACTCAGATTCTGGCGCAGTTCCCCAAACAGCACCAGCAATCCCCCAAACAGCTGCAGCAGGGCACCCCGGCCCCAACATCTCTGAGCACCCCGCAGGCTACCCAGACCCCTCCTGCCACAAAGCCCACCATCCAGATCAAGCAGGAGTCAGGTGAGCGTTGGCTGGAATGGAGAGGCCTGGGTTTGTTCCCAGCTCCGAGTGGTTTTGAAATGGCTTAATATTTGTTTTATTGTGATTTATCAAGAGAAGGAAACTTGCAGCGGGCTTTTCTTTCACTTCACCTTGTTCCGCAACCTTTGTGTAGTTACTCCTGTATCTGTTTTTACAGTGTATTTGAATGTTGACCAGCCAGGCCATCATGCTGCTGTAAAAGTGTTTTATGTGGTGTAAACACGGACTTCAGTGTGGGTGTTGTAAGGTTTATAGTTTCTGAGGAATAACTGCAGATTCTTGTGGTTTCCTCGTGGACTTGTTAGTTGATAAGGTGCCGTTCAACCCCCTCTCCTCCAGGAGTGAAGATAATCACCCAGCAGATACAGCCCAGTAAAATCCTGCCCAAGCCAGCCACTGCTGCCCTGCCCAGCAGCAGCACTTCCCCCATCATGGTTGTGAGCAGCAACGGTGCAATCATGACAACCAAACTCGTTTCCACGCCAACAGGTACGGCCTGTTTCCCTGTAAATTAATTCTCCGTGGTGTAGTCAAGGTCAGAACAGAACACTTTTATGTGGAGTATGCAACAAAGGGAGATTTTTCCGCTTGGGATCATGTTGCTAATGTGGCCAGAATTCCTTACTGGAGTATGCAGAAAAAGGGAGGTCTCATATTTCCAGTTTTTGTTGTTTAGAAATACATTAACTTCTGCATAGAAACAATGTGTGTATTAAATTGTATTGATATTGCCATGTAAGCATCTTATTTGATTATTGTCCAGGTCTTAAATGACAAATTTATGAGAACACACTGCACAGGAACCACTCTTACTGTAAAAGACGAAGTTTTGAATCAAAGATTTGTTGTCTGAGGCAGACTGAGACATGGAGAGGCTTGTGCTTAAAGTGAAAGGTTTGCAAGTGTTTCAGCTTTAATTATGAGCAACAGCCAAGAAACCTGGGATTTTTTAAAGCAATTTTTAGCAAAGTCAGAAATGCATTTTTCTGAGTGTTGGATTGATAATTACCTGTGCTCCGCTATGAAGGGAAGCAGGCCTCACTGGCTGTGTGTGCGCGCGCAGGTACCCAGGCCACCTACTCTCGCCCGACAGTGAGCCCCGCCATCGGCGCCCGCATGGCCGCATCTCCCGGGGGCACCACCTACGTCAAGACCACCAGCGGCAGCATCATCACAGTGGTGCCCAAATCGCTGGCCACCCTGGGCGGGAAGATCATCACCAGCAATATCGTTTCTGGTGAGGAGCCGAAACGCTTGGAGTGAATTCTCCTTCAAGGACTGAAATGCCACAGACCTGCGGTCGCTCGTGCCAGCTGGGATTTTAATTGTGTGCTCCATTTCATTGCTTCTGTACGCTGTGGGCGAGATACAGCTCAATATTAACTGAGATGATGGAAGTATATTGATGGCTGGTCTGTTGAAACTATTAAGTGCGATATGGCGCGTAATTCTTCTTTTCCTGCTCAGTCTTTGCACAGTAACAAGTTTCCTCTTATTCTTTCAACCTAGGTACAACTACGAAGATAACCACTATTCCTATGACATCCAAGCCTAACGTCATAGTGGTGCAGAAGACCACGGGGAAAGGAACGATTCAGGGGCTTCCAGGCAAAAATGTTGTCACGACATTGTTAAATGCAGGAGTAAGAAAAACACAATCATTTCACAAGATAAGTGACTAGAAACCAAAAGAGCCCTTTAGGTTATGAGTCCCAGGTTATCGTGTATGTAGTCTGAAGCATTGGAAATTGTCCAAACACTGTTTAAAATGGTTTTTATTAACACCAAAGGTTTCAGCCACTAGAATTAATTTAAAGCACCATAAGGTATAATATTCAAGAAGGTAGCTGTGCCAGCATGCTTAGGCTGCGAAGGAACAGGTAAAGGTTTATTCCATCCTGAAAGGAAAAGAAAGGAGACACAATGTTTCAGCTGTGGGGCCTCCTTCAAGTGGATCTCTTTTCTTCTCCTTTCAGCATGGAATAAACTATTACCTGTTCCTTTGTAATGTATAATGTGTGCATTTGAAGTCCTATTGCTGTATCCTGGGTGTTGGATTAGCTTTATTTAGTGTTTACCACACGGACTTGAAGGGCAGATGATGTGCATTAAGCATAGCAGAAACAATTCTGCAGTTTTCTATTTACCTTTATCTGTCCTTTCGTTAAATGATGTCCGCAAAGGTTTATTTTACTGTCAATTTTATTGCCAGATCAAATGCTTACATGAAACGGAGTATTTAAGTTGTCTGAGCTTTGCCTCTTCCTTTACAGGGAGAAAAGACTCTGCAGGCAGTTCCAGCTGGAGCAAAGCCAGCGATCATCACAGCCTCTCGCCCCATCACCAAGATGATAGTTACTCAGCCCAAAGGCATGGGATCTGGGGTGCAGCCGGCCACTACCACCAAGATCATACCCACCAAGATTGTCTATGGGCAGCAAGGGAAAACACAGGTCAGCACTTTAACGCAGCTATGCAACCTGACACCGCACCAAACAGGAAGTGTTTACATTATCTGCACTGAAACAAACCATCTGCAAGCCTGATTGCAGGATGTAAGAGTCGTGTTGATTTTTCTTTGCTAACGTTCCCGAGTTTCGGGATCCCTGCCAGAATCTAAAAGGGAAAAAGCCAAACAAAGCAAAATGCATTGTGGGTCCGGGTATAACCCCGTGCACGGTGCTGTCTATGCAGGTGCTGATCAAGCCGAAGCCCATGGCATTCCAGGCCACAGTGGTGAGCGAGCAGGCCCGACAGCTCGTGAGCGAGACGTTGCAGCAAGTGTCCCGCGTGACGGAGGCAGGGCATGCCTCCGCCCAGGAGGGGGCGCTCAAGGAGGAGCCTCCGAGCTACACAGAGAGCAGCTCCTCTTCATCAGAGTCCTCCCACACTTCACAAGGTAGGACATCCCATCCTGGAGATCCCCTGGAGATCGTCGCTCCCCACTTCTCCCACCTCGTGTCCAGAGAGTCACGTAACATGGAGATCTCGTGCACGTCGCCACATAACTCATAAGCTTTCCTGCTAGGGGCTCCCTGGTGACGGCTGGCTTCCAGAAATTAAGAAATTCCTCTTCATTTCCCCAGAAGGTCTTTGGGGAAAATAAAATCATCTCGCAGATGGAAGGGAATCCTCCCTTTCCCAGATGCAGGCAGGGAAAACATTTCCCATGTTTTTTTCCCTGCATAGAATAATAGTTGAAATTGTAGTGCCAGATTAGTCCACTAACGCCCTGATTAAATGTGAAAATAACATAAATTGCATATCAAAACATAACTAAAACATTCATCTTCAAAGTGTCTTAACTTAAACAATAAATCAATAAATGATCACATCATTAATTATGGCTAATAATGGTGAACTGCTTTCCTTTTCCCCTAGAGATCTAGTGAAGAGGGAACAGTTGTTAACTCCAGTGCAAGTGTAATTATGTTATTGTGATCAAGTAGCAAAAGCATGGAGCACTGTCCATATTATACTTTTGCATGCTGTTTTTCAGATTCCCAACCTATAGTTCATGTAATTACCTCTAGAGGTCAGGAGTGGACAGAGCATGAAGTTGCTGTAGAATCCAGTCCCACTATTATTTACCAAGATGTAACTGGGGAGTCCCAGTCCGCTACTTCCACTATTAAGGCTTTGCTGGAGCTGCAGCAGACTACAGGTGGGTATTACCTCAGGGATGGTGTCTTATGCTGGTTTTCCCTTACGTCACAGTTTTTCCAAAGGCGAGATCGTGGCTTTTCCTTTGTAATCCTTTGATTGCACGGCATCATCAAATTTAGGGATGGAGTTAGGCAACATTTAAATCCATCCTGACTAGCCCATGTAAAGACTATACAATGTATAAGTTTCCAAATCGATGTCTGGTTTGTTTACTTTTACTGTGAAAATGGGTGAAGGAATAGGTAAGCCTCCCATATTGCAGCTGTTGATTCCTCAGGATCCTTCAAGCAAAGACTGGACAAAGTAACTGCAGTGATTGGCTAATAGAAGCTCACTAAGCAGGTGGTGTGCTCATTTGAAAATTGTTATATTTTTTTGTGTGCATATTTTTCTGGCAGTTTAAAGATCATCCCGTTCAGCGGCTCTTCCAAAAGGTTTAGGGTCGGCCACTTCTTTGATTTAGCCATGTGTGCAGAGCTCACGTTCATGACTTATTTTGGGCTTTTTTTTTTTGTATGCAGTCAAAGAAAAGGTGGAGTCTAAGCCGCGACAGCACACGATTGACTTAAGTCAGATGGCTGTGCCAATCCAGATGGCTCAGGAGAAGAGGCAGCCCTCCGAGAGTCCCGTCATCGCTGCAGTGGAGCCTGATGTGGTTACAGAGTACATCGCTGCTGGTATGTCACCCAGCCAGAGGAATGCACTTTCTCTTGCATTAGCAGAGCTGTGCTCTTGAGCCTTATCAGCAGATGGTTTAGTCTTGATGAGCTGTTTTTTCACTTCTTTGTTTCACTTGAACTATTTTCACAAAAGCCATATTGTACTTTGGGATCAGCGCACACCAGCTACCTGAGCCAAAGAAAAATGCTTTCAGCAATATGTTGTGCTAGATCATATATACTAAGGCTTAGAGACCATAATAATAATAATAATAATAATAATTATTTTATATAGCGCCTTTAAAGGTGGCTTCTCAAAGCGCTTTACAGGATGACAATAACAATTAATAAGAAGAATAAACCAAGGTCTGGATCCTAATGTTTCTAAGAATATCTACCCCTGGTGTAGGATATTAGTACAGAATACTGATTACTTGCAGTGTGATCACGACCCCTCGTGGGTCTCATGGGCACAGATTCCCATGGTCCCTTTCAAAACCTCTCTTTGGCTGGGCAGTTGTGTGTGGTTTCAGAAAAAAAAGTTACTAGTAAAGCTACAGAGATGGCGAGGCTTCAGTTAAGATGGTGTTTTTCTTTTGTTGTGAAGTGCTTGAATGATCCTCATTAAACCCTGTATTAGGAAACTGAAAGCACTGGCAGTGTTGTTATCAGTTTGCAGATTTTTTTTTCCTAACCAGCAAAAGGAAACCAAAAACAAAGTGCATGCCGTGACAAGTCGAGCTGTGAGCTGGTCTTCTCAGAAGAGCTTGCGTTACACCAAATGGCAATGTCGCTAAGTGATTCAAGTCGATCGCTAGAATAGAATATTAACACATCACCTGGAGACAAAATGCACTAATTTGTCCTTCAGTGAAGATTGAATTTTATTTTGAAAAAAGGGGGCTGTAATTCATAACTGTTGCTCATAGGCAGAGAAGTGACCCTGTCACAAAGCAGTTGAAGCGGTTGTTCAAATCTCCCCAAAATAACGCCAAACACTCTTTTTTCAGATTTTAGATTGGTGGAAATTTCCGTAATTTTGAAGTGTGCTTCTTCAATAAATAATATAGACGCATAAATAATTTCCCTAAGGAGAGATATTTGTGACCCCACAGAACCTAGTTACTGGTGTATCTCTTTCACGGGAAAGCGTACATATAGTGGAAGTCATAAACCTACGGAAATTGCATTTTAAAAGTGTAAAGATTGCCCTTCAGACCCGTAGATATCCTGAGAGTCCCGCGAGACATTTCCTTCAGTGATGAAGGAGGTGTGGTGTGAAGCAGAAGCTGAAACCGGGGCGCAGGGAGGTTTAACCTGGCGCCCTCTCAGGCAGCGTGTTCTTTCTCTTTCAAGGCAAACCGAGCAAAGCCGGAGTGTCCTTGGCCGGGCCAGGCGGCGGGGACCTGGCCCTGAGCTCCCTGCTGTCCTCCAGCCAGCCGCCCAGAGCCCAGCAGCAGGGGGCGCCCTCGCAGCCAGCGGGGCCGACCCCCGTGGTGGTGAAGCCCCTCCCGTCGGCCTCCCCGGTCACCGTGACGCGCATCGTGCAGCAGGTAAGCTCCGTAGGGACTCGCGTGGGCCTGCGTGGGGGCTGGATCTCCTTCTTGCTCAGCGGCGAAGCGTGGCCCTGTGCTGTTCCCGTCTGTGTTGCTCAGCCACTGACCGCAGTTTCAGCTGAGGGTGCTCCGTGTCTCATGTGGGCTCCTTCCACGGCCCCGCCCCATCACGCACTTTAGGCATCGTAAAAGGAAAAACAACTCGGGAGTTGTCGGAATTTGTTCGAAGGATTGCAGAAGAAAACATATTCGTGCTGAGCTATTCGCTTGTCAGAAGCAGCCTCTGAGATCAAGAGAGTCAAACTGGAAAGGAGACACAATGGATTAAGCAGAAGGCTGTCTTCCCTTTGGAGATTCTTGGATCAGTTTACTACTACAGCATCCCCAGAGCTCTCCAGAAACACCATGAAACTAACACTCTTATTTTAATTCTCACAAATCTTCTTTAATCCTTGCCTTTTATTTGCAAAGTTAAAACACATACTGAATACTACAAAGCTAATGCCACCCTATGAATTCATTTAAAATCATTGTTGGACGGGTATCCACTGGTGTACCTGGTTTGTTTTACTGTGCATTAAAAGTGATCTTTTAACTTGGCAAATGCAAAGCTGTCAGAGTTGTACAAATAGAAATCATTCCCTAGTGGGAGTTTCCTTGGACACCTCCTTATGTTAAAACAGAGGACTGAGTTGTAGCAGTGACACAGTATGAACTAAGAGTCCACATGCTTTAGTTTTCATGGATTGTGCTGTAGCTCCTTTTGTTGTATTGCAAATGTCGTTCTTCTCTAAATTGAGGTGAACTCTTTTGTAGATGTATGATAATGCTAAATTGCCCACTTTTCTTGCACACTTTATGTCCTTAACTACTAGTAGCACTGATCATGTTTTCCACCCCTGTACGCAGTTGACATATAGGAGGGGAAACCTCTCCACTTCACTTGCGCCCCTGAAGTGCAGCCCCTTCCTGAGTGACATTTCTTGCCAGCTGCCCCACTCCCCAGCTCAGGCTGGGAACTGGAATTTGCTTCACCAGTCGAGTAAAGGAAGAAATTTGTGGGCCAGATAGGCAATCACTTAGTATTCAGGACCTCGATGTAATGTCTCTTCAGGAGCATGGCTACTCCTACAGCACAGCGTCCCCTGTCACCACCCTCGAGCATTAGGGAAGATCGCCTCCTACTGGTCTGCCACCTTATGGCAGCAATTTGGTTTTCCAGTCACTGCAAACCAGTCCCAACTTTCCTAGGCTTCTAAGGTATGATAGATCAAACTAGAAGGTTTCGCTTTGTGCAACTAACATCTGTATTCTGATTCCTGCTGTGTGGTAGGCTGTGGTGAGCCAAATGACACACGGCAAGCAGGCGGAGGAGCTGGCAGTGGAGGAGGGGGAGCTAGAGGGGGACACTCTGGACCCGCAAACTGGCTTGTTCTACAGGTCCTCTCAGCCTGCAGCCCAACAGCAGCAGCAGCAGCAGCTAAAGCAAGCCTCACAGCAGCAGGAGCAGGGTAGACACTTACCCCACCCCACTCAGCAGCAGTTGCAGAGCAAACCTGGCAGTGCTGGCAACCAGACAGTCGGTCAGCCCTCCTCTCCCAAGCAAAAGGTACTTGGACTGTTCCAACAGGAGCAGCAGCAAAAGCCAGCAGCCCAACAACAACAACAACAACAACAACAACAACAACAACAGCAGCAGCAGCAGCAGCAGCAGCAGCACGTGGTGTTGAAGGAGAGGCCCGTCTCTGGGCCAGGGACCCAGCCCTCGCAGACTGTGGTGCAGGTGATCGCCGTGAAGCCACCTCACACTCCTCAGCTCCCCAAACTGCAGCAGGCTCCCACCACCCAAAACCGGCCCCTCCACACCCAGCTTTCCCAGCCCCCACCCCTGCAGGCCCACCACCCCGTGGTGTCGGAGAAACATCCTCCGAGCCAGGTGAGTAGCTCCATTCGGATCTGCGGGGAATCGCCCGTCGTATGCAGTCCAAGGAGGCTGACAATTAACAGAGCAAAAACCTTTACCGAGCCTCCCGGCGCTCTGGAATAGAGGCAGTCACGATGAATTATTTAGGTGGCAGAACCTGGTGGATTTTGGCAGATGGATGTAAAGTAGTTTCATTAGATAGTATAAAAATGCTGTTGCCCACTGTGAGGAACTGGTTCCCGTTACTGAGAGGTTTCCTCTGTCCCTCAAGGTGCAGCAGCCCATCATCACTCAAGGAGCCACTGTAACGAAGATCACCTTCGGGAGTCACCAGGCCCCCGCGGTCTCCAAACCCGGCAGCGGAGAGGTGGTGGCCAAGCTGGCGCCGGCGCCGGGGCTGGGCTCGGGGCCAGGGCAGCCGCCGGAGAAATCGTCCGTATCGGACATCTTGAAGATCTCGATGATGGAGGCTCGGATCGATCCGAGCGTGGAGCCCATGGTGCTGGACTCCTCCAGCGATGGCAGCCCCTTTGGCAAAGGCGTGGGGGGGTCGCAGGGCGCGGTCCCGGGGCAGCTGATCAGCAGCTCGGCCGCCGCGCTCCTCCACTCCGGCCATTCAAAGCAGCTGCAGCACGGCCCGTTCTCTCGCATTCAGAGCCTGGCTGGGCAGAAGAGCAAGGACGTGGATGTGATACAGGTAGAAGAATTGCTTGTCCTTAACCTTCTCCAATGAGTTCCTTCTTCCTGCTAATTGTCCCCCCTCCCCCTCTCAGTGAGTGAGTCACCCCCACTTTAACTTCAATAACAAACCACTATTATTTGGTGGCTGCAAATGTATTGAGTTATATACTGAGTCATCATTTGATTCAGTATTGGATAGGAGAAGCGTTACACAGATACGAGCAGTAGAACAGGATATTCCCTCGTTTCTGTTATGAGAATCTTCGTGATCAGGTCCGAATTAGTCACTGTTACCCTTAAGGCTTCTTTAAGGTTCCATGCTTGCAAAGATGAGTTTACAGAAAATGAAGTGTCATGTGAAGTTGTGGTTAGGGCTCCATGGCCGTATTCCTAAAGTACTTAGGTGAGGGCTCTGGGGTCGGATTTGTAAACTCTTACTTGAGTAACTGCATTTTAAGTGGAAAACAACTGAAGTGGGGGCACTCAGATAATTTTGTACTTTTCTTAGCAAGGTCCATTGTTCTCATCTTAACATTCAGACTTCAAGGAGGTATCTTTAGATTGGTTTATTTGTGAGCAAATACTGTTAGACTTGGACTGCACAATAACGTTGGGCAATTCTAACTTTAATAAGCAGCTTTGAAACTTGTTTGGATTTAATTTCCCTGTTTCATCTTAGACTATGTTTGCATTACTCAATTTCTGTAAATATCTAGCTTGATATTTTTATTTTGGTGTGATTTCTTTGCCTATTTTGCTCACAGAGAAGAACAGCAGTATAGTACTACCTATAGTAACCATATGTTTATGATAAATAGTTGTTAGTCTCAGAAAAAGCCAGTGTTGCTGCTCTGATTCATTCATTAATTAGACCATCACCATTTCTGCTTTTTTGTGTTGTTTTTTTTGTATTATTTGTCAGATTGTTGCTTCCTTGGTTGAGTAAACCTTGGATTGGTTTATACGGGCATTCTTCAGATTTTTCCAGTTTGGGACTGGGAAGTTACAGGAAGCTAAGCTGAGTAATGCCTTCTACTCCTTCGGCTTCCAGGTTATCCCGCAGTATTCCATAACGCCCGATTCCAGCCAGTCCAATGTGGTGGTGGAGCCCAGCGGTTTCCTGGAGATTACCAACTACACCAGCCAGCGGCTGGACGAGGAGACCGTCATGGAGCAGGAAGTGGACAGCAGCAACGACGAGGGGGCGGAAGTCAGCCCGCTGGAGGGCTGTGCCGACCAATCGCAATGACCCACTGTCGCCAAGGGGAGGAGCAAGTCCGAGACCGAGCCGGAGTGGTGCACGCGGTTTTAAACCTTCTAGTTTTGTTTTGTTTTTTAAGGGCCACACGTTCCCAATAATGTCTGCTGACACAGAGAAGAACAACAACAACAAAAACTTACACGCTAAAAGCAACACTGCCGGAAAGGGACAACAGGGGCCAAAGCGAACTCTTGAAACTGCTCATCTGGGAGAGACGACCGCAATACTTGGGTGTTGCAGATCAAAGGAGTGGTGAATCCTGAGGAACCACGTCAGTGAAAGCAAAGCAGAATAGACAAAAAAGTAGCATTTTCCTCCTTTCATTTTTTTAACACATGTAAATAGTAAAAGCACATTTTATGTCTTGTGTACATGATACTAAACTTAAAACAGAAAAATACAGCCAGGAGGTATCTGTGAAGTTTCAGGGGTTTTTTTTTTGCATTTGAGAAAGTACTGTCTCCCTGGACTGAACCTTAGCATTGTTTTTTGTAAACATCACAAGAATCTAGAGTGATCTGCAGACGATAGGGTTTTTAAAATCCTACGCAGCGGACACCTTTCGTTTTTGTATTTCCCTAAAATGCAAGCAAACCTTTTGTCATCGTATGGGGGGGAAAACACCAGGAAATGCCCTGCATTGTAACAGCATCCACAAGACTGCCTTCTGTTCTGCCTGTACATTGTTTCAAAAGATGACTTAAGCCAGAGAAGTAGCAGAAATTAGTTTTGTCAGGGGGAGGGGAGCTACCAAACCTTTTGACTTCTTTATCGCAGTGTACGTGGAGAAGGTTTTAAAAATCACCCTGAGTTATTAATAATTCTTTGCAGGATGTTTCATGAGCTTTTAGATTTGAGTGATAGCGCTTTGACTATTGAGGAAGAAGGAGCAGTTTGTTTTCCATTACACTTGGAACATGCATTCTGTACAGAGAAGATGACATTCATAGGGACTCGGTGTTTGTAACTTTGGCTCAGTTGGCGCCATTTTTGAATCTTATGCCGATCATGTAGTTAAATCACTTTGTGATTTCTCCGTCACAAAATGAGTGAAATGTAAAAATTATATGTAGTAGTCTAAATGTTTAATTAAGCCCGTAAGCTTTAGCACTTTGAAAATAATATTCATTACTGTATTTTAATTTGCAGACAAAAAACATCCATTTGAGCTGCTTTTATTTCTCTGGTTAATTTAACTGGTTAAGTGATTACAATTTCTGAAATTGCAACATTTCCACAAAAAATAACCCAAAATGACAGCAGCATTGAGATTTCCATTTGTCAACTCTACCGGAATGCAGTATTACACCTGGTTTAGAGGGATAACAGGCACTGAAATAAATGAGGTCAAATTACTTTGGTGTTGGATGACATTAGTCCATAGTGTCACAGTTACAAAATAAAACAAAGAATTATAGTTTTCTTGGATAAAACCCTCATCACTTTTGTTCTTTGAAAGGAATAATGCACTCAGTTACACTCTCTACATTTGAGAGATGGTTGATGTAAAAATTGAGAGGTTTTAAAAGAAATAATTCTAGGCATATCTGGACGCGAAATACACTCTTCCTGTAAGAAAGTAGGGAAGTAAACCTGTACAGGTAGTAATATAAATGGAAGGAGATAATGAGATATGTAATATCTCCTAAGGTTTCTCTCACTCCAAGATACTTTATGACTATAAAATAAATACTTCCTCAGAATTAGGACAGCAGTAAGGACTTTAGTACTGTTTGTAAGTGTATTTTGAAGTTTTATGTTCATGCCAAACCAAGAAGACGGCCTTCAAAAATCCAACTTATGATTCATCATTTTAATATTTTGGGATGTAACTCCTGTTAATTATCCTGTTCTGCACGATTCAGAGTGTGTCGCATGCTGCTTTAAAGAAGCAGAATTGAACTCCCAATAAGTTATTTCAGGTGAGTTTGTGAATAATCTGACATTAATTTTCTTTTTGCAAATGTTGTTCTATTAAGAATGTGTATTTTCTTTTGGACAATTAAATCAGCCCAGTTAGTTTTCAGGATGCCTGCATCTTCCACATGGGGCCGGTACCAAGATACAGAGAAATTGCATATGCAGTGATTTTTAATGGATTTGCTGCAGTATCTGTTATCTCCATAATACCAATACATTTATTTCTTCTTACATTGATTATGATTTATATTACAAATAAAAAATATTTTTAATTCTTGGGTCACCTATCTTTGAACAGTTGAGACCAGTTTGATTATTAATACATTTTGACAGGACAGCAGTTTCTCAGTGTCAGGTTGACGATTGATTTGATTCAATGTACATTTCTCTTTGGCATTTCCATACTCGTTTGACAGAAATAAATCCTTTGAAGACATATAGGGTCTTTGAAGCAGATGTTTCACTAAAATCTCTCTCGGAGATAACATACCATGGATCATTTGGCCTTGGTTGCAATTATAACCCTGCCTGTGAATTTCTGTTATAAAGATGAAAGAATTAAATAATTCTGTACATTGAAATCCATGACAAGTCAAATCTCTTACATAAACATTCTCTGCTCAAATACTGCCATGCAGGAGAATTGCAATTTAATTGTTTTTCAATCGGCCTTTTTTAACTGGATGTCAACATATAAGTTATTGGATGATTCTTCTTTATTGCCTTGTAGCACAGATAGAAATGGACTGATGATTCTCAGTGAGTAGATATGAGCTTAATATATGGAGGGGGTGTCAGACTTTGCTTTAGCAGTTTGCTCTCTTAGGTACAAAAAAGCTTCCTTTTGTCTTCAAAGCCCCTAAAATTGACTCGCGGAAAAGAGTTGGTGTCAATGATTGCTATTGCTTTAGCCTTTTCAGAGGGTGCTTTTAGAAAGTTTCCCATGTGAATCTATCCCACAGGTTACCTGAGCGATTCCTATAATGCTGCATTAAATCCCTGGGACTTTCCTTTGGAGATTTTCTTATCCCTGCTATCAGCTTTGCATATCCCAATGGGAGCATGCAAAGACCAAGCAAGCGTGTGATCTGCCCTCTTTTCACACAGCCCATTTTCTCTTGCATTATCCTCTTCCACTCCAGGGGAGACGATAGCATCATAATTCATCTATTGGTAATAAATGCGTTACAGATGAAGATAAACTCTGAATCAATGGAGGGATTTTCATGACTGCATTTTCAGAAACGGAAGGGAAAAAAGAGATACCTGAAGACTTTGAAGTGTGTTTGTTTTCTGTCTTCCTAGAAGACTTGGCGCTTACTGTAAAATGTTCCACATGGCAAGACAAGTCTAACATCAGATGATGTATTCAGGAACTACTGTATGAAAAAACAAACGAGAATAATTTCACATTTTAGGATTACAATATTTTTTTAAATAGTTGTATGTAGCTGTAATCTCCTCAAATGCAATCCTACCCAAAGCCCTCATAAATCCTTATCCTAAAGTCCTGACCTCCGGCTCTGCTCTCAGGACACTTAAATGAAGTTAACACTTCACTTGCATTCCTTGTTACTGCTCCATCTATCCAGTCTCCATCCTGGCTTGCGCAGTTGCTCCCTGGGTCACTTCCCTGGGGGAAGTGAGCTGCAGCAAGTATTGCAAATATCTACCAATAAACCACCGGAAAAGGTTAAGGTTTTAAGGTGTTGTCTAAGTTTCCCCAAAATTCAGTTTTATATGTGACTTTGGTGGCCAACGTACAGCTGTTGTGCAGTGGTGGTGTTGGGAAGGACTCATCTTTACCTCACTGAAAGGTCTTTTATTTGGGTAGGACCCAGGCAGGAATTGAACCCAGGACAGTTGGAGCTGTGAGGCAGCAGAGTTATCTGCCTTTGACGGTAATGACAATTAGTCAAACATCAGAGTAGTAGTCAGGCTGGGGTTGTTTTACTTTCATTTTAACACAGACAAAAGGGCGATCATGCAAAATAAATTGTACCTGGAAAACCCCATGTTCAAATTTAGAATGCCCATGTCCTACTCTTTGTGCTCACTTTAATAGGCAAATAATCCACGTAACAGTTCTGCAAACACAAACCCTGCTATTGCATGTGAGGTCATCACAATTTGATTAGGCAATGTAAGGTAAATGCACACATTGTGGGTTAAACATCTGGATAAGTGTATCACAGGTACGGGGGTGACAAATACATTACACAGTCTTTCTTAACCCTAATTCCAGACCCTTAATAACATTGCTTATGTTCTTAACTACAAATTTAGCAATCTCTGCCATAGGAATTTGCTACAGAAATTAATAAATTTAAAACGAGTTGTCATGCACATACTGTATTATATAGTGATTGGTGCTTGAGCACATTATTTCTCTTATACCTAAATAAAAGATATCATTATATCTACAGTAAATGATAAAACATTTTAACTGTTATCTCTAAGACAATCAGTTATCCAATATATATATATAATATCCTATAATATTCTGAACAGTACAAAGGGAAGAATATCTCTCAATTTTCATTTCTTCAATTTTCCATTAATAAACATTCAAAACCTGAAGTGTAGCTATAGGGCCTGTCCCTATTGATGCCACCCAGAACAAGGAAATATTCCTTTACCTGAAGTGTATTTTTTAAACCAGGAACAGAAAGCACTTTTGCTAACCACTTTACTCTTTCACCATGTGTGTGATGTAGAGTAACTATTCCTTTGATCTGTAGAAAGTGTAGAATCAGAGTGCCTAACGTGCACTGATTGCTCTCCTTTATCTCTGTAAAGGTGTCATCATAAACTTGCAGAAAATCCAATTAAAGAGCCACAACAAGAGACCGCACACTCTTCTAAAGTCAAACATTGTGACAGGAGCAAAACTGAACTATCCTGCAAGACATGGTGGCGAAATAAAGTTCATACAGTATACTTTGGGCAGCTTTGCACAGCATTATGCACCTAAGAAGAGTTACAAAAGTGGTGGAGGCCAGTCACTCCATCTAACTTATTCAGTTGATATTAAGCTTCATGAAATCTCCCAGGATTTCATCCAGTCATTTCTTGATGCAGGCCAGGCTATCAGCTTTGACAACGTGGCTGGGTAATTTGTTCCAGACTCTCATAACCTTCTGAGCAGAAAGAACAGCTCCTATTCTCCGTTTCAAATTCGCTTCCCTTCAGATTCCACTGTTCCTCGGTTCGTGTTCTGCTGCTGACACAAGTTCAAAGGGCTGACTTTGTCACTGCCCTTGGGGATTCTGAATCCTTGAATCAGGTCCCCTCCATATCGTTTTTGTTCAATATCAAAAAGAACGCAGTTCTCTCACCCTGCCTGTTTAAGACATTCCTTTAAACTGAAGACATTATGTGACGGCTCTTCCCTGGACTGGATCCTGAGCAGCAATATTTTTTTTTTCTTACATGGTGACCAAAGGTGCTCACAATATTTTAAATGAGGTCTTATTAGTGCATTTTACATTTTCAAAATGACATCCTTTGATTTAAATCTTGCATGTATTTGTATTCCTATTTATAGGAATATATATTCCTATATTCCTAACATAATTTTTTATTTCTTCACAAAATACATAAGGTTTTTCTCTGAGAAAAAGACAAAAAACCTTTCCCTAGTAAAGATGACTTAAATATTAAGTCCGTGCATAATACTGAGTAGAAAATTACGCACATTGTGACATTTTGTGCTTGAGGAGTCACCCACACAGCCTCTCACTTCGAAAGTCTTATTCTGAAACTCCCCAAGAGTTCACTTACCTCTTTTTTAATTCTGTGATTGCACTGAATCTGAAATGGACAGAAAGGCTTTCTGGCACACCGGGAGATACATTGTTTTTTTCATATCGGCAAGATGTGGTTTTTCCAGGTCATTTATTTCTTCCTTGTAGTTCAGATGCATCTCAGTTTAATTTCTGGCAGCAATGCCAGTCTGATTCAGGCCTTTGACATATGGTTTTGTTTAAACGCATGCTGACTTTACATTATTTTCTGCCCCCGTGCGCAGTCCTCATTCAGTGATTAATGCGCTAAGTCACATTCGATGACATTACTTTCCTCTGACCAGTTGCTCATACTTGCTCATAGTAAAAAAAAAGACACGATAAATCCCCATCTGGTTTCAGTCTTTTCTTCCCAATAGAAATTTTAATAGAGCAAAAATTGATACCAGACTGTGAGCCAGCTACCCCCTACCCCAGGCCTGACTGTCTGTGTATTAGTATGCAGACGAGTTTCTAGGTAATGGTTAGAAAAACAACACTGGGATCAGCTATGACATCCGTGTTTGTTTGATATTCTCCGAAGAATTACTAATCCGCATGTAATTCCAGATGCGTCTCAAAACTTTCTCGTCCGTGAATCGGGTCCATTTCGCTCGCTTGTCTGTCACTCGTACGCTGGCTACGGGTCCCAAAAGGGCAGATTTTAATAGTGACTGCTTAGTGAAGCGAATCAAACTGGTGGTGGTGGTGGTTGCCACCAGGCTTTATTTCAGCCTGACTTTCATTCAATTATAGCATTAGATTTTAGAATCGAACCATTATCTGCAAACTTGATATATTTGGACTTCAGGTTTTACACAGGAAGGTATTTGGAAAGAGGGTGCTGGTGTGCACAGTGGGCGCTGTCTGAGGTACCTTGTGATATTGTGGTGTGCACAAGCTGGGGTTGATCTCGGAGTGTGATTGATTGTAACAGACAGAACCAGTTGGCATCACTTCCGTACGTTCATTTTGACCTTTCAGGGAAGAGCCCAGGCAGGAGCACGTACAGGCGTGGACCCTGGTCTGAGCGAATCTCCTCCCCGCACTGTGCTGCAGCTTGGGCAGGGTCCTGACACACGGCTAAGCCTGCACAGTAAGGGCGCATAAGAAAATGGATCAACCTGCAAGGCGATAGTAGCTTGGCCTGAGATCTTCAGATCCAGTTCCACATTGTGATTGAAAACCCCTGTGTTCCTTACGTTAGACGGTGTTGGTAGAAGAGAAGAGAGAGAGAGTCTTGTCAAGAGCAGGGCTGTGGGCCTTTGCTCCAGAGAAGACTGCTGGTCTGGCACCCCCCCCTGGCCCGCGTCATCGGAGTGAGAGCAGCTGGCTGCACAGCTGACACATCTGTGAGGTGAAATGGTGAAGAAACTGCCCCAGCGTGCAGCAGGCAGCTCCTGGACTTCCTGTGCCAGGAGATTGAGGCGCAGCAAAATGACCAGGTCAACTGGAGCCAGGACCCCTAAGGTTCTGCATGTTTTTTTGCT